AAAAAAAAAAAAAAAAAAAAAAAAAAAAATTTGATTGAAATTTATATAAATTAAAATCATTATAAAAAAATGGACAAACCATAATTATTTATTAGTAGAGAGTAGGGTATGTCCACAAAATAGAATAGCCAATACAACATTTTTGTGAATATTCAAGGTCACTATCCGAATGCCTGAATCATGCAAATGTTTGCAACAATAGCAAAGCAGTGCTGCCAGATGCAAGAAAATAAAATTTGTTCATTTGAAAAATTACGAATAGGACATAATTTCATATATGCTATACAATATTATTATCCAGATGACGATCGCTGATCAAAACTAAATTCATAGGCCTTTGATAGTTTGGGGGTTGTCTTATAGGACAGATATTTGATAAAACTATAAAACTTTGACGAAAATTTATACCTCACCTTGTCCACGGAAATATACAGTAAATAAGTTGAGAGAAACATTTTTACCTGATCTTGTCAATGCAGGAGATAATGGGGTATTTGTATCAGTATCTTTAAGATATGATGCAAAAGCAAACTGTAGCAAAGGAATACATACCTAGAAAACATTTCATAATTTTTATTCATTTCATTATTGTTAAGTTTACATATATTTAAAATTTTAGAAAGTAAAATTATTTTATAATAATTGAAACAAATTATAATGAATGCTTTACCATTTCAAAATTAGGAAATAATTTACTATCAAGCTGCCATATCAAATGCCACCAAGTTTGACATTTTATTACAGCAATTCTTTCTGTTGACATCTTGTTCAGTTTTAATGGTTGCAGAAGCAATTTTAATCTTTTGTGATTAGCCATAATTTCTAAATAAGAAAATAAATATATGTAAGATGTTCAATCACAAGTTTTAAATCTAAAATCTAAATATTACTTATAATACTCAAAACATAATTTCAAATAGTAAAATAGTAATAATAATTTAGAAATTTGCTGACAAAATAAATTATTAATTTAAGTAAAAATTTATGTTTATCTGTTAGCAAAACATTATCAATTATTGTTACATAAACTGCTAATAATGTTTAACTCAAACTTCAGATTGAATCTTTTCAACCTTATAAGTTAACAGCATTTGTGAATTTTTCTTAAAACTTTTTATATTTATTTTACTATTACAGTGAGATCTGAAATATCAGAATTAATATAGATAATTAATTTATTCTATTCTAAAATGAAAACTTATCTAAAAGGAAAAAGTTCTTCAGAAAGTGATTTTATGTTAAAAAAAAAAAAAAAACTAGAAACCTGCCAAACTATAAAAAATATTCAGTACTGTGTGGTTCCAGCTTATACAAGTTTTACTGTATGAGCTTTTAGATTATTTTTATACATGAATGTATAATTCAATACATTTATATAAGCAATTAAAATTTATATTTGCTCAATTAAATTAGCTTTTTATATTAAAATCAATTTAACATTTGAAAAAATGTAAGAAAATATTAACTGACATTGAAAATATCTTACAAAAATAAACAGTACCTAAATCTGTGCTGAAATTATTTATAAGATTCTGCCATGTGCACAACGCTTCGGCATGAATGTATTCTTCTTCAGATTTAAAGGCTTTCTCAATGATTTCTAAGAGTGAATTAATAAATGAACTTCCTTTGTGCAAGATCTACAAAATAAATAAGATTTCATTTTTAAAAACTCTATTACATATTTCGCTAAACATTATAAAAATCACTACAAACTTACCTTTCCTAAGACTGTAATAATATTTCCCCAAAGTTTCAAAACATAAAACTTGTCAACATTATACAGTACACTCATTTCTTTCACAATATTCTGAAAATCATTAAAAAATTAAAAATTAATTTTAATATAATAAATAAAAAAAGGAGAATTTATTCTCAGTTTTTCATTTATCAAACAAGCAATTATATAAAACCTATCTATAATAAACAATGCCTACATATAAACTAAAGAAACAAGATAACACTAATGCTAATAAAGTAAATATTAATACTGGAACTGGACATTTTACTGAAATCAAAATGGTTAAACACAAGCTATTGTGTATCCAAGTTCTCTCTCATTCTCATGTTTTCAGTGATGTTTTCACATTATTTTTGGTGTGTTTGCTTATACATAGTGTTTGTAATTTGTCAATTTTGACAACTTCTTTCTGCCATTTTCCTTTGTTGACAGCTTCTGAGCACCCCATACATTTTGTATCCTTTAGTTCAAAGCCAAATGGAACTTTTTAAACCATATTTGATACATTTGATGTTCTGAAGCATCTTACCCATAAACATTAAGATTTTTTTTATAGTTTGCACAGCATTGTTTCCTTTCCAAAACTCATAAAGTATAAAATGCCTGAAATGCTTTTTATCTGAAGACATTAAAACTTAATTTTATTCAAACAAAATGTGAAGTAAAAAGTTTAAAGCAAGCTTCTAAACAAATAATACAATCTCACATTAGCAATAATGTGTTAAATTTCATAATTTATAATTAAATTACACATCTGTGTTAAGCAATGACAGCTGTTAAAAAATACACAAAATCTTTCTGTTCAATCCAATATAACCTTTACCTATAAAACACAGCATCCGAAAAGTGTTTGAAAGCAATGAAGTCTAAGAGAAAGGTTGTAATATTGATAAATAAAATTATATGCCTTTGTGTCCTTATCTTATGTTTAGTACTTAATTTGTCTACAAGGAACTAATTTTATTACTAAGACTTATTATACTGGTGACTTTGTTCTGCAATTTAAGAAAACATATCAGAAAAAAAACAGTCTTTATTTTTCATCTGAACACACATTACACAATATCATGTTTTGGACCTGTCGGTCCCTCATCAGCAGGTTTACAGCCAACAATTTAGTTTTTTTGATTTTTAAATACATCAACATTCAAAAGCATAAGTAGCACAAATCCAATCATACCTCTAATATTCATCATTGTTCTTCTATCATTACTCAGACATTTGTAATATTGATGATTGAGGTGAAAAAGTAAGATATCACAAAACTTTAAAGTGATATAGGTGTGGCAGATCTAGCAGCCAAGTTTAATATGTGAAAGTCAATAGTATGCAACTAGTTAATGCAATTTTCATTTTATTATACATTATTTATATATTTTATTTATGGTTTTCATGTTTCAATTTATTATTAGGGCATTTAATTTTGTTATTTTTACCTTAAATTATTTGTATTTGCTGTTTTAAATTTATCAAAATGGGTATGGTTTAAATTTTGGAAATAGATTAATTCGTTTTCCATTATTTCTAATGAAAAAAGTTTATTTGGATTTTGAATTATTCAGAGTTCAAACAGCTTCCTGGAATGAATTAAATTCAAAGTATGAAGAATCACCATATATGAGACATATTCCATAAGTCAAAGCATTATTGTATTCAGTTTAAAAACAACTGATAGCCTCACTAAGCAATATTTTATAATCATTGAAAACATAAATAAATGACAATTATATTAATAATAACAAACTTACCGTTTTTACTTCAGACACTACAATTGGCAATACAGTTTTTTCAGTCATCATAAATATTGGGACACAAAGCTCTAAATTCTTCATTGCAATTTCACGAACTTGATTATTTTGATGACAAACTGGCATTAAAATCCATTTTGACCAAGTAGTTACATGTGGGATCATGACATCTGCACAATCCATTACTAACCTATAAAATTTAAGTTAAACAGTTTCAATAATTGTAATCAGAAATGTTAATTTGTGTTTGAAAAGTTTTTAACAACATCCATTTATCATCTTAAAGTTATTTCTAATCTGTTTGATTTATGCCATATACTATCAAGTTTAATCATACACAGAACTAGAACAATTCCAAAGTGTGAACAACTTTAACAAAACATAACAGACACCACTCTGAGTTGTCCACAAAAAGATCAACTCTTCCTTGTAAAGAGAGAAAACTCTTTACAAGGAAGAGTTGATCTTTTTGTGGACTTTCAAGACTTCAGATGTTACTGTTTTCCTACAGAAAAAAAAAATAATAATCACAATTACAAAAAAAGCTGTAACTCTGTAGACACACAGTATGCTATTTAAATACAACATTGACCTAGATCTAATACAATACACAAAATGCACAGTTTATTATTAAGACTGCATTATTAAGACTTCTTTTCAAGCATTATTAATAAGCATTATTAAGAGATCTTTTCAAGTCCTGCTGTTTGATGGTATCATCAGACAGTAGGAGTTGAAAAGATGTCTTAATAATCTCAGCCAGGATCATATTAACAGAACTATGTCAATTTGCTAGCTGACTTGAATGTATTTCTTTACAGAGACAAATGGGACCATGACTGCCATACAAGACTAGATCATAAATATGAAAAACTACAGAAAATATATTTTAAAAGACAACACTCACAGATGCCACTTATAAGAAATGCCACATCATGCATGAAACTATACATCACACCAAATTTCAAGCTTTTAGCATAAACTGACTACATCAATGTAATGAAATAGCAAATGTGAACACCAAAAGCTTACATTTGGGACAAACTATTACAACCCAGGAACTATACTACAAATACACATTTCAGCCATAGAATACAATACATACAAAAGATACTATGGCTAAGCTATAATTTCAGACAAAACAATCTATCACAAGCTAGACATTACATTCATTAACAAATAAAGCAAAACCATTTATATCATTAACACAGCTGTCCCAAATACCATACAAACTACAGACACTAAAAAAAAAAAAGTAAATACTCAGAACTTGCCCACAAAACAAAATACCTGTAAAGAATATATAAGATAGAATTATTGGCACAATATGTTTTTTGCACAGGCAAGAAACATATTGTGTAATGTGTTTCTTGAATAGTATGTGTGAATATGTAGTGTGTACAAGAAACACACTACACAAAAGTCTTGAAGAATTAGAGCTTTATAACAGTACAAACATCAGATTATAGAAAGAAATAATTTTAAACACGTAACATAATTAGGAAATTTTTAAATAACAAATACACATATAGTTGATTCGTTTTTTGAAACTGTGTTTTCGTATTTATTTACTATAGTAAATAAATACACATATGTATACAAACAGCAAATATCCACAGCAACAGGTTTTTTTAGCTGTGTTTGACCAAGAATAAACTACAGTGTCTTTTGGCATTAAAATTTTTCAAGTAAATGACTTTAACTACAAGCAAGTATTTTTGACATTTCAAAATTTCATCCTCAGGCAGAGCATACTTAATATTGAAATTATAATTTTTTTAAAAAGTATATTAAAAGATTTCAAAAGCATAGTTTAATAAATCTTAGCACACGTTTTTTGCAACAAATTAATACTTAAAAATTTGTAATAACTATTAATATAAGAAAATGTATTAATGTTACAAGACAAGACAAAATAGAATCACAAAATATTTTACCTATGAATCAGATGACAAATTTGACATATAATTAAATGCTGATGATGATCTTTTAACCATTTTTCTAATAATTCAAATAATTCTGGTAACTACAAAAATATAACATAAATGTATTGATTATGTCTTGATTATGTATAGTAATAAAATATTTTTAAGAACGTACCTTTTCATTTAAAATATCAGCAGAAATGTGTGATATCAAAACTGTCAAACAAGAAATAAATTCTGCACAAACATTTTCCTCTGTGATCTCTTTTAGTTGATCTAAAAGACCTATATATAATATTTTCAAATAATTTAGATTTTCAAACAATAATAAATAAAATTGAAAAGTTATAGAAAAATAAATTTCAACTCCTTAATGTTTTTAAAAACAAGGTTCATCTTAAGAAGCTAATCACTTATTATATTAAAAAACTTTTAAAATTCTTAAAATAAAGAATAAATGGTATAGCATTCTTAAAAACAGGACAAATCTAAAAAGCATTAATAATCTATACATTAAGATTTAAAAAAAAATAAACAAAATTAAAACATGAAATTATAATATACAGATAACCCTTGTACATGATACTTTTACATGATTTTGCTCCGACACAGTTCGAAAATTGGGGATATCTCCACACAACATGGTTTGAGAAATCCTCTGTACAAGATTTCACATTTTTAAGTGGAAATTTTTATTTGATAATTTTTTTATTCAAGTAAACATGCATGTTGTCTCAAATTTTCCCACAGATTTTAGAATATTGAAATTTTTGTTTGTTTTGTGTCTTTTGTCAGGATTAATGAAAACTGATAGTGCAATATTTTCTTCCTTGTCCTAGCTTTCCTATCAACCAGGTGTCATTGTCATTGTTTTCAGGTTTTAGCCTTTAAGACTGTCATTGTGTTTTCTTTTTATAGATTAATCTTCATATTTAGTAAAGTATATTTAAACATTTTTAGGTAAATGTTATTAACCTTTTTTAACTGTAGATAAATAATCTATACTAATATTATAAAGAGGTAATGTTTGTATGTAAGTTTGTTTGCAGCAGGTAATCTCCGAAACTACTCACCCGATTTCAAAAATTCTTTCACCAATATTTAGAATGGAACTTCAGGGTGGACATAGGCTGTATATTATTCTGTTAAACATTCATATAAATTAAATTATATCATCTAGGGTTAAGGCTTTTATGTCCAACAGATGGCGCTATGAGTACGACGCCCTAAGTTTGCTTTTCTGTGAAAATGAACTAAAGCGGATCATCATCTATCTACTTATATAAATAAAAATGTAATGTTCATTTGTTCCTACCGATTCCTTTGAAATTTTGACACAACGCTGCATTTGAACACGCACGTGTTTTTATATAATATACATGTCGAAATCCCCCCCAGGAGATGGACAGGATTAAGGCTTACCGTAAAGAACGCTGCTTCTATTTATACTATTTTAGATGCGGGTTTTTGCGTTTTTGATTGCGTTTTAATAGGGTACGTCAAGAGAATGTACACTAAGAAGAAATTTTTAAATTTCTTTTTAATTTTTAAAAATTTTTCCCCGTGGGGGAGAAATTTTTCAAAAAATTTCTCCCCCACAGGGAAGTGTTATAAATTTATAATAGATACATTTTGAGCCACAACAACGCACGGCGGGATCTGCTAGTCATTCATAAAAATGATGAACAAAGTACAGTGGTATCTCAGTACTTGAACACAAATTCTGGGAGAGAGGAGAGGGAAAAAATTGCTCAGTCCTTAATTGAACAAACATGACCCGCTAGAACAAATTTTTGATTAATAACATATTTTTATTTTGTCATATATAAAAAATTTTAAAAAATGAAGATATTTCTGATTAAGATCAACGAAAAAGCTAAGAGAATGATAATACATCATAAAAAGAAAATGCCCTTGTTTAACTAAAATTAATATTAATATGTGTATTATGTACTTTTAATTGTGATTGTTAATAAGTTATTGATTGCTTTAATAAACATATTTCTCTTAGTAATGAAAAAGAACAGTAAATTTGTTAACTTTTGAAACCTAACCCCAAACCTTTTGCATTAGTCCTTTGTTTCGGAGCACAAATTTGCATAACATGGCACTTTTTTGGAATATAACCTACTGTGTTGTACAAGGGATACCTGTATATAAAGACAGAAAAAATAATAATAATTACTGCCAAAAGAAATGCAACATGAAACATTTCCAGTACTGATCTTAATGATAAGTTACTTCCAGGAAAAATCACGATAATTTCAGTAAAAATTTACAAACTTTTTATTAATAATCTCTGTAAACTGTTTACAAATTCAAAGAGTACAATTATAGTATAATTCTTCCAATAACTTGACATCAACTTTCAATATCTTTGTGTGATCACTGTTTTGATCAAATTAAGGGAAATCTTTTTTTGTTGGATTGATGATAGACATTCATCAGTTCTTTTTCTAATGCCTTGTTATGATTGATTTGTCATACAAGGCCAAGTTTTTAAACCAAAAAGTCTCTACCCAAAACTAAGATTAACTTATATAGCAGGTATAAAATGCAAACCTTTACAACAGACTAATAAATTGTGAAACACCATTCTTAACAATCCTGTACCCAACTTTTATAATTCCATCTGGTCACCACAAATATTTTCAACTAAAACCTCATATTTGATGAAATTATTTAACATAGAGATTAATATAATAATAATAATTCAGTATGAATGACCATTATATAACACACTTTTCTAACTACAAATATTCCAATTGTACAATGAATGATGCAAATGACAGAGTGTAAGACAGATCTATCATATTTAGTAGAGTTTCAACAAAATATCAAAGATTGTTGTTGATGTTAGGATCTTTTATGGCAATGTTGCAGAATGCAATAATATTCATTTATTTTTTTATTCTTTTAAAAATTAAAAATTTTTTAAACTATGATCATTTGACTGACCAACTTGTAAAGACGAGTTCTTATATTCAAAAATATAATAGAGTCTTTAGTTTATACACTAGGAAAAATGCGAAATATTTAAATTATCAGAAATTTGAATTATCCATTTTTGAAAATTAAGGATAAATTAGCTTTCTGTAAGTTTCTAGTATTCGTCAGTATTTATTACTTTTGATGATGTAATATTTTATATTTATTTTCTATTTGTTTAATCACTAACTTTTTATGCAAAAAATAACTTTCATACAAACACTAAAATCACAGCCAAACAACTCTGCTATATAGATACAAATATCACTATAGTTATGAAACCTGACAATTTTGTAATTTGGAGAATATCTGGCATATGCACATTCAAATAAATCAGTTTACAACCTGATACTTTAAGTTTCATTTTCAAAATGTAAAATATTACTAGCTTTGAATTATCTAAACTTTAATAAGAACTCTGAATACACTGTATTTGTACAATTGTATTTCATTGTTTCTAACACTTTTTACTGATTTTTACTTGTCCAAAATAGATACATATCTTAGAATCAACAGAATCTTAGCTTCACAGTCTAAAAACAATTGGCAGCAATCATGAGTAACCATGTGGGGTGTGTTATGCACAAATAACAGATGTCTTTGATTATACTGTTCAACCATCAAATCAATTTAAATGAGCTTTGTGATAACAAACATTTAATTTAATCTCTTTTTTTAATCTTGATATGTGCTTTTTGTCCTTAATTACTTATATTATACTTTTGTCCACTTTGGACATTCTTGCGAATTAAAACTTGTTATATTGACCTGTTTTTAATGATTAAAATGCCCTCACAAGTTCACAAGTCAACATTATGATGCATCATTAAAATGAATATTTATTGTACATACATATGAATATGGAAATAGAGCTGCCACACATTACCAGTTTTATGGGATTTGTATTGTTTTCCTAACTTCTTACTTAACAAATTTAATTAATTAAAAATTTTTCTTTCATAACAAAAACCTTAAAATTTGATTTCAGATTATTAGAATTGAGAAAATACAATTTGTTACACATTAATTTAAATAATGAATTTCAAGAGAAATAGTAGAAAGTTTAATTTTTCAAATAATTTCAATTTATTGGATATAACTCAATTTTGACTTTATCAGTTTACATTCAAAATTGAGTATATTAAACTATATTCAAATTTTTAGTTGGAATTATTTTGAAATTTGATCATTTCAATAAGTTTCAATATAATTTTAAACTAAAAAAATTGAGTGTATTAAGATATGCCAATTTTTTAGTTTGATAATCTCAATAAAACAATTAAACTCTGTTTTCTTAAAAAAATCAGTTTCATGCTTTTATTAAACTTACATAATACAGAAAAGTAAACAAATAACTTACTTATAAGTATTTCCTGAGATGTATTACTTTTCAATGACCTATAATATACAAAACAATTAAATAATAGTACTATTAATTATTTATGAAATTAAAATAAATCAAAAATATTCATTTACTGCTTACTCTGAAATCTGATCATACGACAAAACAATTTCTAAGACACAAAGGGCTTCCAACTGTAGTGTTTGATTTTTACTTGAAAAAGTAATATCTTTTAACAGAAATGATATTAAGGGTTGAATGGTCTTTTCATTATATAAAACCGGTGACAAATTTTTGTTGCCTTTTAAAAATCTAAGAAAAATTTAAGAAATAAGTTTTTGGAGACAATTTTAAATGAAATAAAATAGCATTATTTAAATTATTAAAATTACAAGTTGATAGTTTTAATCCTTATCCAGATAAGGTGAGTCTGTCAGACTCTTTTCAACATAATAATATAATAAATACAAATAAAAACTCCAATTACTAATAACAGATTAAATATAAAATGCAAATTACTAAAATGTTATCTGTTATCAAGGAGTGAATGTAAAAAATACAGCTTTACTATTTTATAATATAAGTTGTTATATTTGTTATTATTATTAATTATAATAGACATCTATTATACTGGAATTTATGATTACTTTTTAAATTTTTTCAATACATTCTTTATAATGTTAATTTTTGTTTAAATAAAAAAATTAGAGAAAAGGTAAGCAATGAATTATTTAATTCATTATTTACATTTTTTTAATATCCTTAAACATAAAATGACAAAACTGGAATATGAAAATATAAATGATAAAAGTGAAATTTTTTCCTTTTCATTTTAAATAAATTTTTGAAATTATAATGTTAATAACATCAGTGTTTTTAATAATCAAATAAAATTTGGTAATAGAGAGGTTGAGGCAGACGTTTTAAACGTGTAAACGTGTAGGACAGACATTCAATGCCGCTTTCCCGTAGGCCTAGAAGTTTGACGATGGTGTTTGGAATGTCGAGCGTGATTCCACTGACTATCCAAACACCATTGTCAAACTTTTAGGCTTACGGGAAAGCGGCGCCGAACGTCCGACCTACACGTTTACATGTTTAAAACGTCTGCCTCAACCTCTCTAATATATGTACAGAACTGTATTTTAAAACTTAACTATTTAAAAAGTAATTTAACACAAAAATAACAATAAATTAAAGAAGTTTAAAATGGATGAATTCAATTTATTGTTATTTTTGTGTTTGATTGTATGATTTGATTTAATTTACATTTTACATTTTTATTTTAATCAATTTTATTAAAATTTGTAAAAATTAGTTTATGAATCATTAATAAATTTACTGTTTCAAATGTTTACAAATCTCTCTCTACCAAACTATTTAAAAGATTGAAAGCCTTTAAGATTTATTAAAATATTTTAAACTTCAAGACTGACTGATCTATCTGTACATGTTTCAAATATTTATTATTAAACTAAAAATTCAGAGATTTTACCTATATATAGCCAAGCGATCTTCTTCTGAAACAGCTTTCTTCAATTTTCTCATCAAAACTGCTGGGGCCATAATTATATCTTTATTTATTTTTTATTTTTTCAATTAAACAATCTTCTCATAATATCTGGAAGGTAATTTATTTCTGTAAATAATTAATAATTTAAAGTATTCTGAAATAATATATTAAGTACTAATACCAAAATAGTGAACACATTAATTTTAATTTAGTTGTGGAAAAGTAATGTAAATTTTCATGTTGTTTTGATATGTTATTGTGGGGTTAATATGAATCATCTTCTGGCATTACACATGAATCATTAATCAAATTACTTTATTTTAAAATGTTTTCATTTAGTTTATTGTTTGATATCTTTAAGTTTTAGAATAACAAATTATTTTAAATTGAAAGTTATGGAACAAAACAAAAACTTCAAATTACATAGAAAAATTACATAGCTTAACTAATTAAAATAATACATAAAAGCAAAGCAAAATAAATCAGTAAAGGTAATTCTGAGCTAAATTACCTGTGGTAGATCATTCTTATAGTTTTTATAAAATGGATGTAGTGGCATTATATCTATCCATCTCAACATTTAAAGTATTAATATAAATATACACATCAATTGAAACCTGATATCTTAATTAAATACACCTACAACTGCCATAAATTATCAGGCTAAATTTTGGATATATGATTATAGATTAGAATTAGAATACATTAGATCCAAAATTTAGCCCGATAATTTATGGCAGTTGTAGGTATATTTGCTAAAGTATTAATGTTTTGTATAATTTTTCTTTTAAAGACAGATTTTTTCCATTTGAATAAATCTTAGATATTTGTGATACTATCAAAGTGATTGTTAATAATAACTACTTGAACTATAATTTAAAATCTATAAAGCATTTTCACACAATGTTTGTTCTGAGCAAGTGCACTTTACATGCTGCCATGTTGGTGCTACTTGCACATCAACAGTGACCAGATAGGAATGGGAAGCACCTTTCTGCATCATGGTAGCATGACAGGATTGGGCTGAATCCATACAAACACACTACTATTTATATATTTTTATCTAGTATGGATGAAAATTTTTGCCAGGCTGTTTGCTCAGCATATAGTTGTGCCAACAGACCATCTAAAAAAATTACCTGGCATCATGTTTTACAGGTTTATGTCAGTTACTAGTGAATCGTTGTTCATCCTACTAGTGGTATACTGTATAGTGTTTTTGTTTGATCTCAGCGATGTGATTAAATTAGTAAGAAATACTTTAGGAGGAAAAAAAAAAAAACTATATTCTAAAAAGGCATTGTTGATTGGTATTACATCAAGACACTTCACGTTTACAAGAGACTGAAAATATTCACTTAAAAAATACGCTTAGGAGTGCACATGTGTTTTTTTACAAACAAAAAAATGAAAGTGAAGTTAGCAACATTGCTACTAAGTGCTTCTAAAGCTGATGCTATAACATTATGTAATACTCATTTGTAGCTAACAGCATTCAGAGATTGTGAAGCAACTGTAGATTTAGCCAAGTGATGAATGACTTGTTTGATGTTCTCAGTTCAAGTAATGTTAAGCAGACTGGGTTGAAAGGGCCTTTGGATGTCAACAATCTTGATGTTTTCGAATTTTTAAATAAAGAAAATGAATATACTTGTAACTTGAAAATAGGTCTACACTGGGAGGTCATACTGCAATCAAGAAGGAAAACTGGAGTCTTTGGTTTACTTTTTTGTATCAAATCTATCAAGACATTGTATAAGATATTAATTGTCAATAATTCTCTCATTAATTTAACTATATAATCTTAGTCAGGATCACATTGAAATGTTTTTTCAGTGTCAGAATGTAAGGGGTATGCAACATAATCTTTCTGCATGCCAATTCAAAATACCATAAAAAAAAACTTTTAGTTCAGAAACAAATAAATGCTGCACTTTTTTCTACACAAGAGATTTTATGTTAATAATTAAATATAATAAAACAAGCTGCAACTTATGTTGGATATTCAATTTATAAATTTAAACAAATTTGCAATTTGAATAACAAAGTTCCAAAGATAAATTTTTTAAAATCAAATTTTGACCATACAAATAAATTTGGGTCAGTACAAAATAATCCTTTTTTTTAATAATCCAGCTAGAGACAGATGGTTAACAACTTAAAAACCAACGAAATGACATTAAAAATACATACAATATAGAATTGACGCCAATCTTTTCTTGGAGGATCCAATGTCAATGACACAGCATTAAAATTCTTCACAATATCATTCAGGTACAAATCAGTTGTATTTATACACATCTGCAGACCTCTGTTAGAAAACTAGGAGAGCATCATAATTAGCATATCTACATGAATAACAAAGTTCCAAGGATAAATTTCTTTGATTAAATCAATTTTTTTTACAATTTTATTTAAACCAATCTGCAATTTGTTTAAATAAAATTGTTAAAAAATGTGTTGTAAATTGTAAATTCCATAAAGTATATTAACTGTTGAACTAAATGTTTTCAGGAAGTTTCACAGGCCTGCTTCAGGTCTATCACAACATACAAATGCATTCTATTTTGGAACTATTCATTTTATAATCCTTGAATAAAATGTTTTTAAACAGAATTAACAATAATTCATATGGCCTCAACTTGAAGTTAAATCAATAAAGTGGAACATCTGTGCACAATCAACATCAACTGGAAAACTACAATGAAAACAACAATTTTTCTACTATTTTTTTGAGCTTTTATGAAAGTAACTTGATAAATCTTAGGATATACATGTAAATCCTAGGTTTTACTGAAATTTGGACTTTTATGGTGTGCTATATATATATATTTTGCTATATATATTTTGGTTTTGTTAACTAAGTAATCTACTTTGACTTAATTATTGCTTTTGCAATTAAATGCTCTTATATTTGTTAAAAAATAAACAGTAAGTAAATTTAATCTTAACTAATTTTTTAATTATATAAATATGCCATATTTCCTAAATTTTAACCCTTACATTCTTACACTTAACCTAGAACAATTCAGCAACAAACACACCCACTTCCTAGACCTGAACATCTACTTTAAAAATGGCCAGATCAAAACAGACATTTACTATAAACCAGGGTACCAACCATTATTCATACCAGCAGCCTCTTTGATCCTTATACATGCAAAATAGCAGCATTTAGAGTCCTTACAAAAAGATCATTCACACACTGCACAAACATTGTTAGCACATTTCAAGAATTAAAATATATTGAAAAAATAGTGATGACACATAGTTACTCTAGAATTGTAAGGAACCAAGTCCGAGCGTTATTTTTTAGTTATTTTTATTTTTGCTTTTATTCTATTTTTGTTTGGGGCTTATGTTTTGTTAGGACAAAGGTTTCCTCACCACTCACCTTAGAAACTTAAAAATGGAAGAGAAACCAACTCACCGGCGAGAGAAAAGCGCCAAAGATAAAATTCGCGCACACTTGCGCTCCTGAGTGGAGAAAAGTAAGTCTGCACCGAGAAAAGGGGGAGACCCCACAAGCACAACTTAGGAACTTGCTAAACCTTAAAGAATAAAACATCACGAAAACTATCAAAAAGAATAATGTAAAAGGTTAACGAGTATTGTCGGAAAATAGACTGCCAGGCAAACAGGAAAAGTTTATTGTTAGCATTAAGTATGTAAATGAGGGGAGTGATCTCACTCAGAATTGTGACGTAACCTCACAGAATAAAGACCGAACCTCAAGTGAAGATGACCGAGGTGAGCTTCTGTTAGCAACGAGCGTGGTGAGCTTTGTATCAGCAAATGAGAGAGAGGTGTCCGATAGGATAAAGTAGTTCCAAGGCAATTTTGAAGTTATTCGATTTGTGGATCNTAGCAACGAGCGTGGCGAGCTTCATAGCAGCAAACGAGAGAGAGGTGTCCGATAGGATAAAGTAGTTCCAAGGCGATTTTGAAGTTATTCAATTTGTAGATAGAATATTAGAGAAAGTCTTGAGAGTTGAGAAAAAAGGTTCCTAGTATATTGAGGTGACAATAGGACTTTTAATTAATAAGAATTATTGTACGTAAGTTAAGTCTTTGAAATTTTTGTCAAATTCCAAAGGGGAATAGAGTTAAGTTAGAAAATAGATTGATTTGAGTTTTGTCGGGTTGATTCTTATTGATTTACGTTGAATAAATTGTTATTTGATTTTTTTACTAAATTTTGTATATAGTTATTACTAGAATTTTTATTAAATATTGGATTGTTTTTGAATAACTTTGTCATTATTTAATTCGGTGCACGCTTAAAGTCCAGGCCTGGCACATTAATGCGAATCCACGTAAAGTACCCATTAGGTAACGGCTATTTCCAGCACACAGTCATGTCAATAATCATTGGAAAAGTCGGAAAATTAATATAGTACTTTACAGAATAGTAGTGCAAAGATTAGCAGAGAACTATATTAAAAGAATGAATGATTATACATACCACTTCCAATCTTAACAGGGATGGTAATAAATGTTTAGAATCTATGGGCATTATAATGAACTAATACAAATACTAATTGATTATGACTGGGGATTAAAGGCTTTGTACAAGGAAATTGCTACTAATCAAGATTGGGTGATAACATACAGATGTAACCTGTCTGTTTATAATTTATTAAGAAACAGCAAATATGCCATTAACACCTATAATGCACCAGGGGTATATAGTATACTTATGAGAGACGACAGATTTCAGAAAGATCTATTGTACATTCGTTCAACCAAGAGACCCCTTAAAAAACAGCTGGCAAAACATAAATATGACATACAAAACAAAAAACAGACCAGTGCTCCACAATATATGGTTCTGAAACAGACATGAATGCTAAATTACAGCAAGCCAGTCTCATTTGACACACCCTTCACATTGATCAAAATTTTAGAAGCTCTTAAAATTTTTAAAGCCAAGTGAAAGGGGGAATGTATCAATTTTAAGGAAGAAACAAACATGCTTCTGCTTTTTCAGTGATCCCCTTTTCAATGTTCCCAACAACATTAAAAAGAAATAAAAAAATCAATTAATTCACTAAGATTTGTAACAAATATATTTGTTAATTTTAATTTTTAATGTTAATGTTAACACC